TTTTTTTTTTTTTACCTTATTGAAATGAAGCAAACTAATGGAAAAGTTTAGAAAGAAATCAAAAAAAAAAAAGAAAAAGCAAGAAAAAAAGTGAGGAAAAAGGAAAAGAAAGAACGGAAATGGAAACTTGAGCTAATATTTTCATTGTCAACTCTTTATACTCTTTCATTTATTAGCTTTGTTCTTTGTTTTTTCTTTCTTTTCTTTTTTTTTTGTCAACTAAATGAAAAGTTTTCAATAAAATAATGAAATTTTAAATGGAAAAGCTAACTTGATGGAATGAAAGAAAAAAAAAAGAAAGAAAGAAAAAAGAAAAGTTATGTATAATTTTTTTTTTTTTGGCTAAAAAAAAATAAAATCATTGATAATGAATTTGTTTTTAATGTTAAATCCAGTTTTCCGGATCAGGAAAATTTGGATTAAACTATAAAATTAAAATGAATTTTAATAGAATTAATGTTTGTTTGATAAATATATGACATTATAAAATATTAAACAAATGAATATGATTGCATTTATAAAATTGCAAAAATGAATTATGCATGAAATGGTGGAAAATTTTCTTCAAATTAATATTTTTATGAGAGAAAAGTAAATGAATTAAAAATTATTGATAAGTATTTTTCAAGTTTAATTTGGTTAAAGTTTTTGTTTCTTTTTTTACCTTTTTTTTTTTTATAGGTGAATTTTGTAATGATATGATTTATATAAGGCCAATGCAACGACAAACTATCATATGTCGGAATTGTACGGATCGTGAACCAGATTGTGGTGAAATATGTCGTGGACAATGGTGTCATGAGGATTCGACAGCAGGTAACAAATTATAAATTTTAAAAATTTATATGAGTTGTATGAAATTTGAAAATTTGTGTAAATTAATTTATGAATTTATAAAATTTGACTTATTCTAAGTTGTGAAATTTGTTTAAATTTAGGTTTAAAATTTTTTTCTTTAAATGACTTATTGGCTTATTGGATAAAAAATTATGGTATTTTATTATGCTAATATTTGTGTAGAAATTATAGATACATTTATTCTATGAAATGATCAATTCTTTTTTTTTCTGAGTGAGCAATGAAAATTTTAAATAAATTAGCTAAAATTTGCGCTAATGTCCTTGCAGGAGCTGCTGGATGCGGTTATGGACCTCCATCATTACCTTATTTTTACAAGGGACCTGAATTATTGTATTATCGAACACGAATGTGTGTTACCGTTAGCAGGTGAAGTTAAATATTTTTTTTTATTTGCTAGACAAACAAAAATCATACTTCTTTTTTACAAGAATTGCTCTTATTGTATGAGTAAATTATTCGAATAGACTGTAAAGTAAATTATTTAAATTGTTAATTTATTTGTACAAATTGCTATGCACATTCATACGGTTTCTTTAACTTGTCTCTTGTTTATCTGTTGCAAGAATTGTTCCTATTGTATGAGTAAATTGTTTAAACTGTTAATTTACCTTTACACATCGTCTTGCGTATTTATACCACTATATAGCTTGCAAGAGTTGCTCCTTATTGTATGAGTAAATATGCATGATTAGCTTTTTTCGCATTTAATTAAAGTTGTTCTTATTGTATGAGCAAATTGCATATCGTCTTGCTTATTCATACAACTATTCAACTTCTGTCTTATTTGTCTATCATTATTGTAATTGAAAAAAAAAAAACGGTAAATTTTTCCCGAGAATTGCTAATAAGACACAAAGTAAGGAAGGATAAAGTAAGAATTTTTAATAGAGAAAAAAATCTACCAACTAGTAATTACTATTTCATCTATAATTGATTAATATGATTTCCATCCGGAATGTATTGGTACAAAAATTCCGCTAACTCATCTGAAAGTGTTATATCAAAAATTGCTTCAATAATCCATAAATTTCTTATTTAAAATTTTCCTTTAAAAATTAACATAAAAGAGAAATTTCCAATTTACAATATCACTATTCCAGTAATGTGATATTAGTTAAATTGATGAATAATTAATTATTGAATTATTCAAGTTATCAATCAAATCTATAATACTTTTGATAAATTTTATTACGATATATTTTTTCCGTTTTCAGCAAATTACCATAAATTTCTCATTTCTCGAAAATTCTCAGTTGCATGCTTCTATAGCCATATCTATTATCATTATCTTCTATCAAATTATCATAAATATAATTTTAGAGGTTCCAGTTCTCCACGAAAATATTGCATTTGTAATACTAATAATTGTAATATTATTTACAAACGTTCAATGCCATGGAATAATCATCTGGAAGGAACTACACGAATACGATCTTTATTTCTAAATTCTAAGTAAACATTAATTAATTAATTAATCATGTTTCATTTATTTTATATAGCTTTTTGGTTTGAATGTATAGATGTTAAATTTTTTTATCAATTAATATCATCCATTTTACTCTATTTTATATAATCATTTAATTGATTATTATCATATTAGTTTTAACATTTCCTTTTTTTTTTTAATTAAATAAAAAATTTTTTGCATATTTTATTTAAATAATAATTTTTATTTTCCTTTTTTTTTTTTATTTTATTTACAGAGAAAATGATATTCCAGTAGCATTACATAAATGTGTTAATTGTGAAATAAGTACGCAAGATATTAGAATGATTGCATCATGCAAACAAAATCAATGTATTGGACATTACTGTACATATGCAACACAACGATTATACATTGGTATTAAACAATATCGTACACAAAAATCGATTTTAAATGAACGTCAAGGATGTATTAATGTTACCGATAATCATCATGTTTGAATTTTATTTTTTTCTTTTTAAAAATTAATTAAAATTTTATTTTAATTATTATTTTAGTAAATAAATATGGAATATAAATTGTATCTAATAAATTACCTTTTATTTTTCTTCTTTTTTTTTTTTCTTTACAATTGAAAAGTAATTATTTGAAAATGAATAAAATACGAATGAAAATTTATTAATTCTAAATTAAAAAAAAAAATTTAAATCCAAATTAAATAAAAATTTAAATATTGATTCTAAATTATATTTCTTATTTTTGTAAAAATTTTGTTTTGCAAAAATTTTGAATACAAATTAATTGAGAAACTTTTTTAATATATATATATAAACTATTTTAAAGTATAAAATTTCCGTAATATTATGAGAAAGGAAAAAAAATATGCAATTCCTTATTGATAATTTTATTTACAATGAAAAATTTTTATCTTTCCATTTATATTCTTTTTATTTTATTTTTATATTTACATTACTTATTTCCTTTTTTTTTACTTTACTTTTAATTTAAAAGAATTTTGATCATATTTTTAATTTAGATCCAACTTGGTTGTTCGCATAAATGGATGAGTAATGAGGAGGAAGAGTTACATTGTGCATGTATCGGTGATCGTTGTAATCGTGATCTAGCAATAGCAAGTCTTAATAATGCTATTCGATTGACCGTAATTATAACTGAACATATTACTGTGATATTTATTTGTTTAATTATTTATCCAAATTTATTATTTTAATTTGACAAAAAAAAAAAAAAAGAAAAATCCATTATTTATTGATTGAAAATACTGATCTCAATTAAATTTTCACATTCTTTAAATTCAATTTTATTAGAAATTTGATTTCGAATTATTAATTTATTAAAACTTTAACTTCTATGGAATACACATTTGCATGCTCATATGAGATATCAGGTATGACTTACATATCTTCGGATGGCATACTGATATGCTAATCTTAAATCAATACACATCTAAATTCTTGAAGCAATAAATTAATATTATTAATTTTCAACGGCTACATAATTATAACATTGTTTGTTTGTTTTTTCTTTTTTAAATTTTCGAATGTTGTTAATGTAAACAAATTATTTGTTGCAACAAATTTAAGTATAATAATCAAACAATTAATGTAAGCATTAATAAGAATTTAATTTATAATTCAATGAAATTATCTAATTCAAATTACGAAAAATATCTTGCTCCATTGCTAAGTTTTTAGTTTCTAATTGTTCATTAATGAGTTCTCTCTTCAATTCGCATTTTCTCATTTGAAATTTCGGGAGAAATGGAATTTAAACTTTGGAATGAATATCCAACAATGAATGATACAAAACAAAAAAATTTGCATATCTAATTGGCAGCGTAATTAACAAAAAAGAATATATTATTATCTTAATTCAAAGTTCTACATTGTCAACATTCATTTTCTGATATCTATCTTTTCTCAAATTGATTCCCTATCTTGATTTGTACTTTCCATTCATTCATAAACATAGACAGTATAATAAAAATTTTCAAATCAAAGTTGACAATTGACAGAATCAAAATCACAAACGTAATTTAGTGCTAAAAAAACTTCTCATTCTTCCGCTTAATCATCATTTATTGGACAAGTTAAAGTATTTTTGTTTCTAAAAATTCTAATCTTTAGATTGCAAGTAAAGATGTCGCATAGTTTCAGGAATTTTTGACTGATTGTCACAGATGTTTTACAGAAGTGTATTGATAGTTCCGCTATTTAATGCCTCAAAATATTTTTCAAACAAAAAAAAAAAAAAAAACTTACTTGATGAAATTGTCGTCAACATATATGACCTTATGATACATATAACAGGTGTTACTTTTGTTATTTATCTGCTTTCAATATCTCGAAGTATAAGTAAACTACAAGTACCATATTGCAGTACCATATCGTTACATCTTATTCTGAATAATGTATTATACTATCACATTATTAAAGCAAAATACTGTAAGTACCGTTTTATTACCACTATGACGTTGAAATACCAAATACTTTAATATCGTCCCCCACACAAATGACTCATTTATAGGTATAACAGGAAGATTGAATTACACATCTACCAATAAAGCTATCAAATTTCATCCATTCTAAGCCGATCATTACCAATCAATAACACTTATATTTCTGTCTTTATGAGATATTTCATTGATTAAAACTTTTAGAGAAGACAGTATTAAAATTGAACTTAAGTAAAACATATATTAACTTGGATGCAAAATCAGAATGTTAAATTTAAATTTCATTGCAAATTTTTGAAAAACGAATTCACTTATTAATAGCTGATGAAGGAATTATTAGATTTCAGCTTTTTTTCTGGAAAGGAAAGGAAGAAAGGAAGGAAAAGAGTGAGGAAAGTGATGGAAAAGCAGGTCAAAGTTGAAATAATGATAGATTGAACTAATGAAGAAGTAACAAAGATAGCATTTTTTTTTACTTACCAAATTTTTTTTTTTCTAATTTTTTTACTTATCTGAATCAGAAAGAGATATCATGAGGTATAAGATATTGATGAAAATCTCGAATTTCAACATCATTTTTTTGCATATCAGATTTTAGCATTCGCAGATATACATTTAATGTTTGAGATTAAAATCAACTTTAAATGAATTAATGGAAATCGTGATAAAAATGATCACTATTATTTAGAAAAAAAAAGAAAAACTTACGAAAAATTAAAGATTTACGTTACTTGGAAAAAAATTTTAAAATTTAAAATTTATGAAATTTTTTTAAAAATGTACGATTGAAAACAAAAAATACCAGAAATCAATTATGTGTAATTCGCTAAACATGGAGGAATGCTGGGATGAACTTGTAACTCTTTGCTTATCCGGATAGAAAAGGTTACAAAAGTATTCAACCTATATGACATATGTTATTTTTACCATGCCTAATATAACCTACAACCACTCGTATTTATTGTTTATTAAATTTAAAGTAATACATAGAAGCTCTAACGGAACACATATTTATCAAATATAACCAAATAATAGCCCAAAGAGATTCAACATTAGTGCCGAACAACTACAAACAAACCGTAAATTGATATATATATATATATATATACTGGAAAGATTAATATTCCATACTCTTATGCTGGAAAATCATAAAATCCCACCGGAAACGGAAACAAACACCTCTTTCAGTAGTTTTTGAAATTACGATGAGTTCGAAAAAATTTATTTAAATACGATCAATTTCATTTAATTCAGCTTTCAATTCGTTCATTCAACTCTCAAGAAATAATTAAAAGTATCGATTATTACCCAACTGAATGAAATCCCTAAATTCATCCCAATTTAAATCCTTAAATGCTATATGTCACTTGAGACTTAGATTATTTTACATTATGCAACTCATTAGTATTTCAGTCTCCGTTAGTTAACTCGTCTGATTTCCCAATCAATTAACTCGATTTACTGATAGGATACATCGCTGGTCTACCACGGAAATCTAGTCATGAAATGAAATCCTCGCAGGATAAAATCAAATTGTATTCATATATAAATTAAATTTACAACAAATTGCAAACAATTACAGGATTGCGAATGCTAAAATATTTCAAGTAACTAACTATGCAAAATTTTTCTATGCCAAAAATAAAAAGGATAAAAATTATAAGGCATTGCATATGGATGAAACTGAGCAAAAATAATGGATGAAAGTAATAATAAGCATATAACAAATAACACAGAAGAGAAGATTATCATAAATTATTTTAAGCTATTTGCAAAACTAAAGGCGGGAATTGATAAAATGACCAAAATTAGCACACGCGTTTAACCACCAGTTTGATTGTTTAAATTGATCTCACCGTAACTCACTTTTAAGGTAAATCTCTTTGTACCCGAAAACACTGCAGCAGTTGACGATATCTAATTCTTACCTGCAAACCCCTCCCGAAAAAAGCCATTCTACATGTATGAAGATATGACGATAGCTAAAATAGAAATTTACCAAGCCCAGTTCCTACAAATCCTACTTTCTTACTTGCCCTGACGAATGCCGCAGAGTGTTTTAGAAATTGCCGTAGATATTTCAAAAATTTTAAAATACACGGCAATATACAGAGTGAATCACACCCACATCACATGGTATTCTGCGTTGGTAACAGAATTTATAGTTACTTAAAAATTTGGAAATACTTAACCGCTACAGTTAAATGCTAAAAAAAACATGAAAACGTCAAATAAATATCGCAACCACGTCATTTCTGGATAACATTTTGCTCTTTAACAATAAAAATCAGGTAAAAAAGTTCGAAACAACTCTAGGTTCCAAAGTATCGAAAAATCAGTGAGCCATAATTTCGTCCACAGAAAAAGAAAATCAATCTACATAAACATTAAAACTAGTTGCTAAATCATTACCTTCTTCGATTCCCTTCATGTCCAAAATGAAATATACTTATCAGTGATTAGTTTCTATAAGAGTAAAACACTACTGTATCCACCAATGGAAGAAATTAATGGAAGGTATCTAATCTACCGCATTTTATATCTGTATATCACAATCACTATGCCGCCCATTTCTTCATATGACGATGAAATAAATAGGAGCCTTCCTTTTGTTGCTGATCGGAAGTTTCATGAATTCTAAACTGCTGTTAATTGAAATTCTCGTCGAAAATGTAAAATCGAGGCAATTTAGTTTTCTTTTGTAAACATTCCAACTGATTATAGAAAATGCTGATAGTGGGAACGGCACAAAATATGGTCGAAAGAAATGAAGCAACACATGAGCTAATTCTTTAACAACAATTTAATAAGACTTCCGTTGTTCACACTCTTCATCAGCAAAGTCCTGGGTTTTAGGAATTAACTATACTAACATCAATCATATGCATATCAACTTTTTTAAGGTAAGTGTGAAAGCACTCAAAAGGGAATTAGTGGAAAAGAAAAAAAAGGAGCAAACAAGCACAAATATACAAAGTGCACAGTAATTTGGGCGCACTGTCAACATTCGAACCTGTACGAAAGCATCGTTTGAAAACATATTATTTATAATGAAGCATAAAATTGAAAAGGAAAAAGAACTGGCTCCAACGGCCTGATATTATGATAAAGTATATAATTTAAAACTTAAATGAATGGGAGTGAAAAAACAAAAGCAAAAAAAAAGTGTTCACTGAGAATTTTTTCCTTTGAAATCTATTGATGTGTTCTTCAAAGATTTCACTGATTAGAAGAAAGCAAATAAATTAAAGTCAAATCTTCCAAACATTTGGAAACCAAATAAAAATTCGAAGATAATTTTCTTCGTTACTCTATGTCAAAACTTAATCCATATCAAAATTATTCGTCCGAAAAAGTCATGTGAATGAGGATATCCTGTCTGTGTTCAATTTGTATACCATTTACCATTGCAGCGGACATATTTCCGGCAAAATCTCGTAAATCAGAATGCGTTATGAAAGTTTGTGCCGGTCGTTGCAACACCTCAATCACTCGTGGTCCGACATCGAATAAGAGACACAAATCTGTAGTGATGGATCGTTAGCTAAGCCTTACTACAGTAAATAATATTCACAAAATTTCGAATTTTCTCCTCCGAAATATTGAAATATCAATGAATTGAGGAAATAAAAGGACAGAAAATTCAAAACTCAATCAAAAATGCAGAATCCGGATGAACAAAAGTTCCCCGTGTCCCCGTGAAGAGTAGAAGGAAAATAATGAGCTGATTACTTTCCTCAAGAAAAAGAGGAAGAAAAAATCATACAAGGTAATGACAAAACTGAGAGAAGACCAACAAAGATGTAGCAGGGGAAAGTTTATGCTTTAAAAGAAATTAAGAATGACCTTTACGTGCCATATAATAGAACAACTAATAGCTTTTTTAATTTCTTTTCCTAATTTTTCTCTATATTCGTAGAAAATTTACAAAAAAGAAAAAAAAAAAACCGTACTTCTGGAGTCGTATTAAAAGCATGCTTCCGAACTCGTAAATCATGTTGTCTGACTGCATCACTATATCTTTGTGCTTTTGATAAGTGTTCTTTATAGGGCGTTGTAGCACCATCCATATTAGCAACATCTATTATATTCTGAAAGGAATCAGTAACATATTTCTTTTTCTTGTGTTCTATTAGCTGTTTATTTTCATATAACGATGCCGATAGCTGTTTAGCTGAAAAAAAAGGTAATATTCATGAGAAAATTAAATGCAATTTAAGAAATAATAAAAAACCAGGAAGAACGACTTTGTGAAATTTTTATGCAACACTCAAAACAAGTATCAAATTGCCATCCTTGTCAAACTGTAAGAGTTTGCTCATTACATTACTGCTATTGATCCAGCAAACTAATAGTGCTAACTTGACAACTGTACATATATTATTTTAGCAGTTTCATGAATTACGTTAACTTGCATGCCAACAAAAATAAGTGGTAATATAACTTACATGATAATATAACCGCAAAGAATAATAAAACAGCAAAACGGCTAATGCTATGGGTCGCTTTAGAAAGCTTGATGTTTACCGCACTGAGTATGAATTTCTGCGGAACTATTGGTATTGCTATGCTTCCCTAACTCTTCCCAGATTATGACTCCTTTTTGAAACAATTCCTGATGAGGGGGTTCTCATATTTTCATACAGTTCACCTTAAGAGACTGATTAAGTGCTTTTATAATTAAAAGTGTTACTTGCTGTGTAGCTTCCAGAATTTGATTTAGTAATTCATCTTCGTCGCTACCTTGCCGAAAACTACCAGGGCCATTAGATGTGGTATGAGATGTGACGTGTTGTTCAGCGCCATTCACCCAGAAACGACTAGCTGAATCAGAAGGCCTGCAAATAAAGACCTATAAATACATACGAATATCAATTCTAAAGATGAATAATTGGGTGACATATTTCCTCGACAAATAACAATATAAAACGAAACAACAGTTTTCCAAGAGGGTGATCATCAAGCCTCTAAAAGCTTTTACGAAAAAAGCTATTTATCAGTATCGCTATAAAGGAAAAGGAAACTTGGATCACCTCACTATATCTTCTTTCTACTTCCTTGTCATGCCAGAAATTTGGCCGTTACAAAACTAAGATATTAACCTCGCCTATTTTAATCCCTATTAAGTTTTGATTGCGATCCTGCTCCATGTTTCTTGAGCCATTGCATTACTGGAAACCAATAAATGAATAGAATAGTTTTCACCTTATGAAAAGCATTTTATACTATATGAATTTATATGATCACCTAGTAAACAGAACATCCCAAAGTAACTGATTAATCAATTTATTGGAGTAAATAGTTTTCACAAAAAAAAACAAAAAAAACAAAAAAGCACACTTGTATGCACCAGCGCCCTAATGCTTTAATCTCCACAATTTTGGTAGTGATACCGAATACATAAGCTAAAACAAGAGAAGGATCAGAAACAAACTAACGTAGCTGTTCCGAAATGACCACCATCGGTATCGTTTATCAACGGCCCTTCATCATCACTACCTTCTCCATTACAACAACAAAGTGACTGCAATATAGAATACATACAGGAGAATCAAGAACCTGAAATTGAACTCAACTTAATTACTATTTCTTCCGTCCGGAAATTCACTCAAACATTTATTCCGAAAAGAGAGAAAAAAAACTGTCTCCCAATATCCGTCTGTGAAATCCTGGGAGTCGAACAGGGTATTTTGCCGTCTGTAGCACTGGGAAGTAAACCCTACAGTTGTCAAGTCCTCCAGTAAATCCTGTAATACTACAAACAACTCCGGAAATATCACAAGAAAAGTGCATCAATTATTCCCGAGGAGAGTAATCGCTATGTTCCATTTCTTCCTCATACTTAACTCTCCCACAATAAATTCTTTCCACTTTTAGCCGTTGTATTCTTTATCTAATTTCTTTACAATATACCAATTTCACTCCCAATGTCACCAATTAATATTTGGTTATTATTTCCGGAAATCACTTTCATCAATTCATCCAACTAAAGACCATACCATACTCCGCGAATTTTATATCCCGGAATTCCCGGAATCAACGAAAAACCCCGCCAACTTGCCAGCACTTCCGACATCTTTTTCCACCTATCTACCATTGATAGTGGCACGAAGGACGGAATGAAACTTTGCATTTCAATCGAATTGATCTTTTAACTTTGATATCATCATCTAAATGAGGTCAGGATTAAATGTTGATAAATACTTCACTATTTCAGTTTTTCGTTTTTCAAATATTTAAAACACCCTGAACTTAACTAATTTATCATTAACAGGTAAATTTACAAATTCTTTCAGGTAATTCTAAATATACCAAAAAGAAATGAAAAAAATTTGATTATATAATTTTTCTTTTTTCTTTTTCACTTGCTTCCTCTCTTTCTTTCTTCTCATTCAATTTTATTTTTTGAATTTAAGTACTAAATTATAAATTAGGCAAGAGTTTAAGTAAAAATTTGAGTAAAAATTCAAGATTCAAGTAAAAATTTAAATTAAATTAACATTTAAAAATCTTTAAATTTCAATGCATCAATTTTCTCGTCTTTTTTTCCCTCTCCCCCCCCACCCCCTTGTAAAGCGAATATATTTTTATCAAAGTATTGAAATTTATTTTACAAATGTTTAATTCTTCCTTATCACTTTTTTTAAAATTTAAATTCTTTAACAATTTTTGTAATTTATGAATTATTGATATATTAATGAAAAGATGGAAAAAAAAAAAATAGTTTCTTATGTGATAATTGGTCTACTCCAGACGATACCAATCATTCATTAGTTGTCATAATTGATTTCTTTTCCTATCTCCTTGGTCTCTTGCGCCTCTCTCCCATTGTTGTATTACAACTCGATCAACTAACAAGTCAATAATCAATCATTACCGCCATTATCACTATCATTATCATCACTATTATCATCATTATTATCACCATCATCATCATCATCATCACTATCATCTCTTCATCCCCGATCACATTGTTGTTTTATTATTATCCTATCAAAATTTGACTTGATTACTCTCTCTCTCTCCCTCTCTTCTTCTCCTTCTCTATCCTTTTTCTCCCTCCTCTTTTTCTTTTCTAACAGCACTATTATGCAGTATTTCTTGTGCTTTTTCATATTCTCTTTCTTGCTCTATTAGCTATCTTCTTATATTTATGACCTTCTAAAGCGACGTTAATGAATTAATCTCTCATTATTTCCAATCATCATTACCTTTTTCATTCTTAATTTGAATTTCAATCAATTTCACTGCAATTTGTAAATTTTCAACCCTTTTACACCGTAAAAAGTCGATATTTGTTTGTTTGTTTGTTTGTTTATTCGTTTATTTGCTTACTTATTTGTTTGTTTATTTGTTCATTTGTTGTTCGTTTGTCCGTTTGTTTATTTATTTGTTTGCTTGTTTGTTTGTTTATTTATTTATTTGTTTGTTTGTTTGTTTACTCTTTCTTTGTTTATTTGTTGCTTGCTTGTTTATCCGTTTATTTGTTTCTTTATTCATTTATTCACTTGTTTGTTTCGTTTATTTGTTTATTTGTTGCTTGTTTGTTTATCCGTTTATTTGTTTCTTTATTCATTTATTCACTTGTTTGTTTATTTCGTTGTTTATTTATTTGTTACTTGTTTATTTGTCATAAACATATTTAAACAATAAATAAACATATTTATTTCTTTGTTTGTTCGTTTGTTTGTTTGTTTGTTTGTCTGTTTGTTTGTTTGTTTGTTTGTTCGTTCGTTCGTTTGTTCGTTCGTTTGCTTATTTTTTATTTTGTTTGTAAACTAATATGTTTTAAAAAAAAGAAGATAAACCAATATGTTTGTTTCATAAACTTTCCAAAAAACTAATATGTTTATTTCTTCTTCACTCATATTCCCTCTGTTTTTTTTTTTTATTTTTCATTTTTCTTTCGACTAAAATTTAATTAGTTTATGGAAAATACAATCATTTGGTAGTTATAAATTTTATTTACCCATGAAAACAGGCAATATTATAGATATATCGATTTATGGAATTAATAAATTCGGGTAAACATTTCAATTAGCCTTTATTTATTTTAAATTAGTCTTAGATAATTGTTTCAGTAGGACTAATCATTTGATGAATAGTTCGTTAATCGTTATTCTCTTTTAATATAGTCATTAACATTGCATTTTTTTTTTTTATCAGTTGTCATCTGCTATTTGTGATATTACTTTTAGCTATAAATTATTATTATTACTAATTATCATTTTATTACCTTTCTATAAATATCATTATTTATTTATTATTGATACTAATTATATCATTTGAATCATTCATTTTATTGTTGATTATTATCACAATTTTTATCATTTTATTACCTTTCTATAAATATTATTACTCATTTATTATTGATACTAATTATATCATTTTATTGTTCCTTATTATAATCCACAATTTTTGTTGATATATTCAAAAAAAAACGAAAAAATTTCTTTTCAATTTTCCCTTTTCTTCATTTTAAGCGAACTTATTCTTAATATTCCATTATTTTCATAATTCTTTTTTCTTTTTCAAAATACTTCGGTAAAGCTTCCAAAGCGCATACTTAGCCAAATCAAGTAACTGCCGAGAATGCAGAGTTTCTTTTTTTCCGAGAATTTTTTTGTCCATATATTC